AATTTCAGAGAATTTTACTCGCAATTTGAGCCAAATTTTCTGTAAATATCATTATGCAAATCTCATTTAAAAAATTAATATTTTATCCGTTGGAATGGGTCAGTTGCGCTAGTCATAGAATCGTGTTTTGATGCTTGATTCTTGTAGATCAGCTAAAAATAAGAAGGTCTGTCCAAACAGCACCTTTCTTCGTTCAATATTAACCGAGCTATTGCCCTTTGAAAAGTCGGACTTTTGACGTCATCCATGCGTTATTGACACCCGTGGTTTCTGTAACCTCGCTTTCATTAATCGGTATGACGCACGTTTTTACTGGTCATTCAACTTGAAACTCGAGTGGAAGAAAGGTGGAAGAAACTTTAGAGTGTCACTACCGCGGTGGATGACATCAAAAACCCGACTTTTCAAAGGGCAATATCTTGGTCAAGATTGAACGTAGAAAGTTGCTGTTTGGACAGATCTTATTATTTGTAGCTAATCTACAAGAACCATGCATCTAAACACGATTCTGTAACCAGCGCTGACCCATTAGGCAACATTTATGTGTAGATACGGCGTTCTTCCTTGATGCGGTAGTATACTGCCGTGCTAGGGAAGAACGCCGTATGAACATTCGAGAGTTGCCTTTCCTCGAATTAAACATGTATTTTTGACGCCATTTGCGCAAATCTATTTAAAATTTTCCGATATTTCAGATTAAATTGCGTACAAAATAGTCTGAAAACGTTGGGGGAAAAATATTCACAATTTTCTCAGTAAATTCGGTTTTTATCGAAGGAAACTTGGCATTGTCTGAAAGCTCATACGGTGTTTTTCCTTAGCACGGCAGTATACGACCATCGACCGTGAAACTGGTAGAAATACGCCGTATCTCACAATGCGATATCTCGTGTGCGATGTTGCAGACTTCCCATCATATTTTATTTTCTACGTGAAATCTATCAAACGTTTTTTCTTAAAAACTTCGGTAATTTTTCTTTTCTGTGTGATGAATATTCTATGATAATTTCAAGCCATAATGTTGGTCGGGTCTCCTTTCAAAAAATAACCTAAGAGCAGAGATTTCGAAACACTGCAACCGAGATACGCATTTATTCAATTTCACGGTCGACATGTTTCATTTAACGTTTAAATTTTGAAAGTTGGTTAATTTCGTTTATATTTCTGTTACAGAGTTGCTTATCTCGAGCTCGGCCAACGAATTCCACGATCTTCGGTAATGCATCCGACAAAACTAAATCAGGTACACTACTGCAAAGAGGTATTTATTTTGTATTGCATGCTTAAAAGATTAAACAGATTCACAGACTAAAAAGATTAAACAGATCACCTAAGTCTCATTGACTGACTGCCTCTTTCAAAATAATCTGGGCTTAAAATCTAGTTTTTGAAAGCTACATTGCTCGCTGAGTATGCTGCCGCCGAAATAGGAAATTGTATCGAGCTGAAAGTTAGAGAAAAGAAAAGGGTCCGGGTCGAATGGCTCGCATCTGAAGGCGTAGACCCTTGGCTGGTTAAAGGGACGTAATGTGATATTCTCAGCTCAGCATGAGGTCATGCATCGCGCCTTCAATTTTTCAGATGCAGCACGTACGTTCATCAAGTACGAATAGTTGTATCTCAGCGCCGTCGTTAACGTGCATCCTTTCTCTCCCTTTATTTTTATATTGTGTTAGCTTCCGTTTGTCTCATTCGTAATGGTGCTTCAAGCACTACGCGAGGAACACAGCCGGAGGTAGGAGAGATGTGTTCGGGCCTCTTTTTAAACTTGTCTCCCGAATTTGAGCGACGCCTCATTGACAGCATATAGCAGAGTACTAAGAGCTCACGGCTCGCGTCATCGCGCCTTCAATTTTTCAGATGCAGCACTGACGTCCATCAAGTACGAATAGTTGTATCTCTGCGCCGTCGTTAACGCGCATCCTTTCCCTCGCATTATTTCCATATTGTGTTTATTTGCGTGTGTCTTATTCGTAATGGTGATTCAAACTAGTGGCATTATTTGTAATGGTGATTCAAACTGTTGGCATTATTCGTAATGGTGATTCAAACTAGTGGCATATAGAGCAGAGCATTCGATTCACGCGAGTTCACGATTCACGCCATCGCGTTTTAACATTTTTCATATGCAATGTGGACATCCATCTTGTGCGAATAGTTGTATCGCGTTTACACTTTATGTTGATGTCTATTATTTTTGATTTTCGAGATAAATTAAGGTTACGTTTGGCCGAGATATGGCATAGCATAGTGTATCCAAATCAATAGTTTTTTTTGAAAAGTAATGAAAAATGTTTAAAAGTTTCTGCAGAGGTCTATAAAAGGTGCATATGTCTAAAAATCGAACCGACCAAAGCTTTTGAGGGAGTTACACACAGTGAATGAAGGAGGGGGATGATGAAGCACCTGTATGTTAACAAAAAGGTGAAAATCTCACAGAAAAGTGTTTACGCTTCAGAAAGTAGTTCTTGGACCTCTCTTCACCACTATCCTGCGTAAAAGCATCTTTCCTTACCCATTACTCTCTCTTTTTCCGTTCATTAAAGAAATTTTTCGCATATATTCTCGGTCGTAATTATATTTCTCTTCTTATTTTGCTATCTGTCAGAGGGGCGCGTTTTCGGCGCGCCAAGGGGGCCAATGACAGATTGGCCTTATGGCCAGTCCGAGCCTGAAAAGGGTGATTGAGTTCTATTCATGCGAAGTTTGACCCACTATTATTGAATTGTACTTTTAATTTTCGATCTTTTCCTTTTTTTGCGTATAAATAATGTAATTTTAATGGCGACTGCTTGTGAAACAACGGCGAGGTTCCTTTCTAACACAGAACCAGAGATCTTTAAATGTTTCAAGGATAAGAAATGTTCGAGTCAACTGAAAGATAATTCAAATTGATATATATTTTACTTTTTTTCAGATGCCGGCAAGAATAAGTTTTTGCCTCCGCAGGACATACTGCGTAATTGCTCTACTGGAGATACTGGACTCACATTCTGTGAACACGTGTCCCCCTACCCGAGGTAAAAATAATTTAGTTATTGTTCCTTCTTTTTTTTTTACATGACAGGCGATTTAATGCACCAGCACCAATCCTTCTGGTATGAAATACTCTGATAGAAATATTAATTTATTTATTTTTATTCCAAACGGAGTACGAAGAACATCGATGGCTAAAGTGCGAAATCACGTATCTCTGTTTGCGACGTTGCCGACTTCCGGGCATACTTTATTTTTTCTTTGAAAAACTAGTCAATTTAATTTCTTGAAAATTTCTTTGAGTTTCCCTCTCTAATACCAGAAGATTCGGTGGAAGTTTCAAACTATGCAGTAGACTTGTTTCTCTTCGAAAATATAAAATAGGAGCACCACAGATTTTGAAACACCGCGATAGAGTCACGTGGTTTCGCACTATAGCCATCGACATACAGCGTATAACGACAACCAAACACACGTACCTATCTTGATTGCGATCATTCTATATTCCGAGTCCATCTTTAAGTTTTTTCAGAGAGCAACAGAATACATCTTGAAATATTTAACCATTTCTTGAATTCTTAAAAAGTATCTATAGTAGGTACGGAAAAGACCCTCTCCTCGCACGACTGGAAATAATGCTTTCGAGCGCACAGTGGGGTGGGACGGGGAATAGAAAACGACCTGAAGCTTATATAACGATTACTGTGAATTCTGTTTTAATTTAACTTTAAGATGTGTTTTGATTTTGGTTTCCAGTGATATCATATCGGCGGAAGCTGCACATTTGAAGCCACTCGGAACAGACTTTGTAAGTATACTGTTTCTCACTCATCTCCTATCTCTCGTTTCAATTGCTTTTCATTATACGCCTGGAGTCAGGCAAAAAGGCCCTTAAGATAAGAGAAATGAGATGCATAAATGCACCTCAATTTAGAAAATTTATTTATACCTAAGTAATTTAACGCAAAGCCAAAGACCGTTTGAACTCCCATTGGGAAACCACCTTCTCACATCAGAATTATAATATTTATAGGTCGAGCAGTTTAGTAACTTGAATTGAAACATATTTTAAACAAATAGCGTTAAAATAAGATGAAAATTTGCGTTAGGAATTATGCATACCGTGCGAGTAATTTTACAAATAATATTAGGTTCATCGCCTGATTTTTTTCAAGCTGTGAAACATTCTCCTAGTTTGTAAAGTTACTCTCAATATTGCCTCTCTTTTTTTCAGTTGGATGATACTTCAAATAGACAAATAGGTGCTGACGAATATGACGAAGACGACGCACCGAACGATAGGAGGGAGGATTATGAGGAATTTCCTATGTGCCCTTCCATTGTAAGTATCCATAATTTTTGGGACTGTCAGGTGGCTTTTTATGAATTTATAATGTTTAGCGCCGCACAGTGGCTCTAGTCAATTAGACAGGTCGGACATGAAATTTTTCAGTAAAACTGCAATATATTGTTGATGTTCATTTCGTCACATTTTAAATTTCAAGGGTAACCTCTAGAAGAAAACACAAGGATAGACCAATAAAACCACTTTTGGAACCTCAAAGTTTTATATAAACCGGAGTTAAAAGCTTTTAAAGCTTCCAAATTTTGTCCGACTTCTCCTGTTAACTCGATCCACTGTGCGCCGTCTGATTGACAATGTGTACCTGGGAATGATGTACATTATCATATTTTGACAATTACTGTCGCTCACACGTTTACTGTAAAACTCGTTTGCTGTACTTAAATAAAAAAAAAAAAAAACCTTTTTTCTGAAAAATGCAGAAAATTCATCGCCAGGGAGTAAAAATCAGATAAATTGTAAAAGGATTGATTAAAATTTGTATTTTGAAAAATTTTAAATTGAATTTTTTAAAGACTCAGCCTTTGGAAAATTTAAAAAAAAATATTTAAAAATCGGCAATACTACAATTCAGAGGTACGAGCTTTTGATGGTTTACCGCCGATTTGAAGGATTCAGTGAATTTAATGGCGTTGTGAGACTATCTCGGATATATCTCGTAGGCATTCTAGTGCAAATGATAATAATAATAATAATACTCACTGTGATGTCATACCCGCGGCAGACCTCTGACACAACAGAACACCACACACAAACACACACCCTCCCCTGTCTACACGCGGACTATCTGTTAAGCGAGGTTCAGAGAAGATATGTCGCAGGCAGTTAGCAATCACCGGCAATTTGCAAGCTCCGTACTTGTCAATTCGTCAAATTGCAATTGCAATAACATTGATACCGTAAAGGTTTCTTTAGCGAAGAGATGCAAGGCACGACCTCAGCTTGGAACGCCTTCAAATCCAGCGATACTCACAGCTTTGCCGCGGAGTTAGTTTAGTTGCTTAACCAAACCAAACCCAACGCAGATAATTGATTACATTTCACGAACTCGCGAGTGTGCTAGTTGGTGCCATGCATTCAAGAAGAAAGGGATAACATATGTTTGAATTCAAAGCATGATAATCACTACTTCCTTTCTCGTTTTTTCACTTTAAAATTTATTAATTTGTTGAATCAACACGAATAGATTGCAATTTGCGGGCGATTGCTAGTTGCCTGCGACAGACATATGTTGGTGAAAAAATTGGTGTTCCAGTCGTTCGGTGTTGTAAAAGTGCCTCGATATTAATAATTTGCTCTCTCTGTGGTTTCAGGAACGAGTGGTTTATCCTAAAGTCGGAAAAACAAAAAACAAGGATCTTTTATTCATTCTTAACCACGAAGAATTCCTGCAGGGGATACGAATAGAGACATGTGTGTAAGTACAATGAATTAGATTTTCTTTAAAATATCCGCTTAAGTCCTTTCATGAAATACACCACGCAGTATAATGCGAGATTTTCAACCCCTCCCCACCCTCTCTCCGTTGCTCATCCGCCATGCAGATTAGCAACTCCCTGACCAATTACGTCACGCTTTTGCAAGACCCAATTTCACATGTAAAATCGACATTTTTCCATTGACATTTTTACACCTAAATTACCTAAAAAATAATTAAAAAGTACATAAGTAAAATAATTTGGCGGTTCACACCGACTTAAAGGCATCTCGTAAGGCCGGCGACCCCCTCTCTGTTTCTTCCCATGGTGAGTGACGTTAGTTACGAATAGCCTATGAATCTTTTGTAAATGTATGGCGATAGCGCTAACAAAATTTTACCGAGTTTTTTTCACACTTTGATTTTATTGGAATTTTTGAGAGTTTTTTGCGCGGAGATGCAGAATAACTCCGCCAAGCAACATGAGATGTATGCGACTGTGCACTTTTAAGATCCAAATTGAACTAGCGTCGGAAAGGTATTTGAAAAAGTCAGAAGTCTGAACTATCTTTTTTCCTTGCATGTTGCACCCGTATTTCGTAACTCGCATCGAGACATGCGCATTGAAAGCGTGGAAGTGCTTGTACAAACTTTGTAATTTTACCTCAAGCTCTCTTATACATAAATGCAAAAAAAAAACGTGCACAGTAATTACATATCATATTTAGATTTCCCATGTTTGGTGTTTCAGACACAAGAAGAAACAATGCGCTTTCACGGAGACCGTGCCATGGGGCTACAAAACGTTCTGCCGCCAAAAATACGTCTACAAAAGGTTGGTGGCTCTCAACGACAAGGGTAAAGCACACCCAGACGTGTTTCTCTTCCCTTCATGTTGCACGTGCATTATTCGACTTGATCGGAAAAAGTTTTAGCGGCCTCGAAACGCATAAAAATCACCCTCTTTCCAATGGAGTAATGATAGGGAGCGTTTTCCCTTAATCATAGACCGATAGACTCGAGTGTCCTAGACCCACGTCATCAAACTCCGAATCGAAAAACGAAGACAAATAATAAGAGGAGAAAAGAGGAAGAAACGTCAATTCCTCTCCTTTCCCTCGTTGTATTCTTCCTTTTTTTCCTATCAACCTTGTTCTTCCTTTTCTAATTCCTCTTCTTCTTTTTGTCCCTCTTCTTATCTTTCTTCTCCCTCTCCTTATTCCTCGTTTTCTTTTTTTCTTTTTCCATCCATATCTCGCCATACCCTCATATGACGAATGGACCAAAGTCTGTCAGGCTAATATTAATCATATACCCGCAAGTTTTAAAGCAAACAGTACCAATCACGAGTTATCTACCGGATACGTATGATTTATCTGACATTTATTTACATTGTATTTTTCGTTTTCTTTCATCGCTCATTTTTTATATGACATTTGTTGTTTGTTGGGAAATGCTATTTTAAGAAGCAACTAGACTCCTTAGATTATGCATCTACAACAGCTACGTTATCCTAAATGTAGCATACCTTCCTGTTTGAAGGCGTTTTATATGTTGTAAGGTTAAGTAAGTTGAGTCTCCGAGAAATATTTAGACAATTATTGTAAGGGACTCGACTCATCCACATCTTTATATGTTGTGTAATAACTAGAGAACCTCTTGTAAATTTTAAGAAGTTGACATTTTTCCTTCGATAGAATATTTATATTTGAGGAATTAAGGGAATATTATAGTCATTATTCACTAAAAAAACACTTAAAAAAATTGGTCCGTTACTGTATGCAACAAGGTGGAGAAATGGTGCTGGGCCCACGTCATTTCGTGGGAAAATCAAAGTCGAGAAATTCCAAAAATTACAATTAGGAATTACAATTATTAAAAACTTATAGACAACTTAAAAAACTTATGGAACAAAGGAATTAAAAACCTATATTTAGGTAACTGGTAATTTAACCATGATGCTTTCCTGAAACAAATCAAGATAATGAATGCAATCTAATGTATTTCAATTGCAGTTGTTGTATCAAAACGTATGAGCCCTTTAGTGAATACGAGGCCATTCTTAAGTAGTTCCTTTTCTGTTTATGCTGTAAATAATATAGTATGTAAGGCTATCAAATAGTGCCCCAAGTCCGAATGCATGGACTCAAAATGTTTATCTTTTGGTATTTTTTGACTTTTGTATCTACATAATGTTACGGTGTTATTATTAATTTTTATTATGAAAGAAGTAAGATATATAAGTATAAATTGCTATGTTTCATTGCAGTATGACATTTGTTTTTTCTCATTTTTAGCCTTGGAGCGGACCCTCATTTCACATTATTTATTAAAAGATGAAAAAAAAGGCTCGTTAACTCTACAGCTCAATGCTAGTGAATAAACATATTTCCGTAGTCCACCAGGGACTGTCCCTAAATTATAGTCTCAAAGAAACGACTTGGAACTTAAAAAAAAAAAACATCCCTGTAGACTGTGCGAACACAACAGACTCATACCTAAGAACTTTCTGCCGATGCGCTACTGAACTACCACGGCATTACGGGAAAATTCTTACAACCACCTTTCACTTAGGTATCATATATGTGAGTGTAAGTTTAATTGCATCCAGCCAACTTGAAGGCGTCTTTAAAGTATGAGTGCTTCTATACCACATTAGCGGCGTGCAATGGAAAATTTGCGGGTGCCTGAAATTATGATTTTAAGAAACCACACAGGAAGAGTGAATGATGTTTTCCCAGTTAGACAAACAAAATTTTTAAAATAAATTTAAAATATTATACCGAAAAAAAGCATAGTTATTTCTACTAATCGCGTCTGGTGAAATTTGGATTTCATTTTCTGGAAACATTTTTAGCCCCCGCGTTTGATTTATCTTTCCTGTCCAGTAAAATTTGCCAAGCCAATTTTTGATATTTTTTCAGATTACGTGTTTTGATATTTTGTCGTTTTGTATATAAAAATTTAAAAAAAAATTTAAAATCTTCCGAAATAATTTGTATAAACTTACAATAAATAAGAATAGAAAAAATATTAAACTAAGTTTTGACAAGTGTTCAATTTCTTTTGAAATAAAATGAACAGATCATTTTTCCTAGTGGTGAAGCCCGCCGTTGGCGTCGCGCCGCGGGTGAAGTGGTGGACAGTCAAAACGCCTTCACTCCCGTGCGTATGCAACACGGACATCCATGGAGCTCGAATAGTTGCATCCACGAGTTTTAAAGAAGTTTGTATGTTTTTCGTCTCATTAGACACGGACTACGGGCGCTTTTCCTTGTTTTTATTACATCGTAACTTACTTCCAGCGTTGCCCGTTGTGCCGATGAAGTAAACTATGACTGATTTTCGTGGTGACATTGTGAATTTTCCGAATAATGCTTTAATTGTTGTTTAGACGCGATTTTAGATGTGATAAAAATATCTTCATATCCAACTTCTGGAGTGGGTTCGGATCGAACTTTGATGGGTTTTTATGCCAAAAATTAACCTGTGAGTGTGATTTTTATTAATTTCTCAGCCGATAATACGTGTTCTGGGTCGGGTTTCTCCTTCGGAACTCCATGATAGCTTAAAACTGATGATTTAATCAAAGAGCGGCACTGTGGCACAGACATGGCAATACTCTCCCACACATCGACGGTGCAAGCAGTCCGCAACCACGTATATCTGCGACGTCGCAGAATTCCTGCCATATTTTCTTTTTTAAACGGAAAACTACTCAACATCAATTCTTTGAAACTGCCGTGATTTTCTTCTCTGTGAAAAAAAAAATTCCGCAAAAACTTCAAGGAATAATGTCAATTTGTTCTCCTTTAAAAAAATAATATAGAGGCGGAGATTTTCAAACACCGCAAACGAGATACGTGGTTGCCGACTTACGCCGGCGCCGTCGACATAGGTAGCCAAATGAAAACTAACGGCGACCAACACTTCACAGTAGAGCAAATTGCAGCTTAGCCAGGCGCGCCGGCACTCCTTGCTCCAAGCAATGCAAAATGGCGGAGACGTCTATTCTCACTCTGTTGTTGATTACACCACCAACGCTGTGTGTGTGTGTGGGTGAGTCTGTGTTGTGTTGATCGGCTCTAGTCTTGAAATGCGGCTCATCGCGAATCTCAACTTTTCACTTTTTCAACCCTTTAATTTTCCCGAGGATTTATAAGTTTTGACTTCAGAATATCTTCGTACCCGACGCATCAAAGTGACTCGCGACGATAAGCAGAAGTGCGTCTCAGTGTGCCAGTTAAAAGTGTGGGTTGACGGGATTTCATTGTTGTCTCAGAAAGGCTTCTTTTTCTCGTCGGTCCATTTGCGTATTGATTTGATCGTGATTTTCGAAATTTATATCTCCGCGATCGGGTTTTCGTGCGCCGATAATATTTCATTGAGCACCGCGATGTGAGAGATCAGCTTGGTGTTTGCTCTATCGCGTTATTTACCTCAAACACAATGAGACTATCACCCTCCGTCTAGACTGAGGCTATCGGGCTATCGAGCTGAGAAAACACCAATAAAGAAGTGAAATTCTTTTTCAAATGAAGTGATATCTATTCCGGTGGAGTGCAAAGTTTGTCAATTTCAAACCGTGTTTTCAATACTCGAAGTATGATCCTATCTTTCTAGTGGCCTTTCAGTTTGGATTACTGCCATCATAGTTTTGCGGATCTGAAGTTATCATTGTAAGTAATTCAGATTACACTAGTTTACCTTCTTCACGATTAAACTGTCGTTTAATTAATCTTTTAAAACTTTACTTCCAATGCAGGATGATGTATTCAGCATTGACAGCTCTCTAGACTTGCATTTTGAAAAAGTATTAGGGAATTTGGTTGACAGAGGACGTATAACTAAAAAAAATTAGTGAAGTATCGAGGGAGTATTGTCGTAAAATAAGTTTGCTGTGGAGAATAAAATATTTAATATGGAAAAGTAGCAGGAAGCTAATCTGTAATTCACTGGTAGGGTCAAAATTGAACTATCGCATGTCATTACTTGGGGAGGTTAATTGGAAGGAGATTAGGGCGTTTAGATAAATTGCATGCACAAATAAAAACTTTTTACATTCCTCATCAAATTCAACCTCCGACAGAGGTAAACACCAGAGTGCATCCTTAATGACAACACTTGTTGCCGGTGTCAGGCTGATAACAGTGCACAAGTCCATAGAGAAAAAAAAAGGAGGTGTTTGCATTTCGGGCATCTTGGAATTGTTTGATGACTTGATGATGTAGGTGGGTACAGCGACGTTTAGCGTGAAGGGGACGTCGCTGTACCCACCTACGTCATCAAGTCATCAATTAATTCCAAGATGCCCGAAATGCATACACCTCCTTTTTTTTTCTCTATGGCACACGTTGGTGGCTACTGATCATGGAAAACATTGCCAAGGGCCATTTAAGTGTAGCGAACTTGCTGGCAAGATAGGCATTAGCCCTACAAAAACTTGTCTTTATAAGAATTAGTAAGAACTGCAATGAACTATGAAAGGCATTTGAAATCTATCTGTATTGCTTCTCACAAATCCCGGATTGGTTCATAAATTTTATTCACATTCATACTTACTTGTACATTCTGAGACTCATGCAAACGCAAGAAAATTATCTCTTTGCTCACGACTACTGGGCAAGAACTTGAAGAAACTGGAAGCGAAGACCCATACTTTACTGTGCATTATTTATATGTGAGAAAGTAGTGTGTGCATTCAATGTTGAATATCTCGCCTTCTACCCAACAGAGTTGGCTAATTTTTTGGCGTAGGCCTGTTAGTGAGATTTATGCCAAGAGCAAGTGAGGCGCATAGTGCTTCAAGGGGGTTGGGCTATGAAGTGGTAAAGGGGCGTAGCCCTCTCATACTTCCAAAATTTTTCAAGACAAAAAAGAAACCAAAGACACTGAATCATTACATTTACACAAGCGATGAAACATTACACGTCGGGTTATGGAGCTTCTGCTTGTTCTCCAGCCTGATCTTAATACTTAAATGAAAATTATCATTTATCACCCTATAGCGACTTGAAATTCAAGAAAAATTTTCTTAAATTTGACAAGGGAAAATATGGTGAAGTTAGGAAACGCCGACCTGAGACTTTCTAGGCCACCTTAAGATCCAAATAATCTCAGTGAAAATGCTTTTTCAGTGACAAAACATCAGACCTATTTTTTAGCTGAAGGAGGGGTAGGTAAGTACGATAGGGCCGGTTTTGGGCCCACCCTTAATTTCTACATCTCGACGAATTTTTGCTCATTGAAGGTCTTTTACTTACGGAATGTATAATGATTTGGTCATTTTCGGTCACTTTACGGGTCTACTGATAACCTAAACTTGAGTCTGAAGGCCAATTTGGCGAAAATTTTGGGTTTTGAGATTTTGAGGTCGAATGCCAAAATATCTGCTTTTTTCAAAACAGAATTCAGCCCTCAGACCCAAAAAGAGACCGGATATGACCAAATTATGATGCATATCGAAAAATAAAGACCTTCATGGAGCAAAAAATCGTAGAGTTGAAGGAATTCAGCCAGAGTGGGCCTGAAACGGCCCATACGTGACCTTTTTTTAGACAAAATAACGTCATGGATCCCCACGGCATTGGACCGATTATTTTCCGACTGACGTAAGCGTCAAAATTGCGAAATAAGAAACCCCGTTTTATTCGTATGACAGTCTTCGAATTCCAAAAAAATGTATGTTCTTTTAGAAGGCTATTTCGATATCAGTCATGATTGACAAAACCAGAGAAAACAGAGAAAAAAACAACCCCTCTACCACCACAATACGGATTGGCGCTTACGCAGGGTGTCCAGCATCAGGATTTTCCCGATTCGATCAGGGTTTGAGGAAAAATTGGTCGTAAAATCAGGATTTGAGAAAAGTCAGCCGATCGGGTTTTTTTTATCGAGATATTTTTTTGGAGTTATATTCGTCTTGCGTGAAGTGATAACGTCTTAATTTTTCTCCGTAAAATATCAGGATTTGGAAAAATTATGAAATTAGGATTTAGCAGAAAAAAATCAAGATTCAGCAGTCAAAAATCTGGAAAAATTAGGATTTCCCAAAATGAAAAAAAGCTAGGCCTCCCACGGTGGAGCGATTTCGACTTTTTTAGGAATTCTTTTGACGGGTAGTGAAAAAAAGTTGGGAAATGGGCTAAATTTAATGTGGAAAAAATTTCAGGACGAAATTCGGATTTCTTGCTGGCGCGCCTAAGCCTGAAAGGCCTAAATTTTGAAATTGGACATTTGAGGCTTGATGTATATGGTTTCCCATCGGAGAATTAACCCCCTGTTACGTGATTTAGTAAATAATCGGTTCGATTAGAACGGACTCTTTTTCTCTTCCTCGTAAAGCGCCTAACATCCCGCATCACTTCCATTTCGCGACTCGGGCAGACACCCCAGACCGGATCAATGGGGGAGAAAGAGCGTGAAGCGGGAATCTTCGTGGCCCGGGGTGACGCAGAAAGCGGGCAGCGGCCCGAGATGGACAAGGGCCGATAGCGGGGCGCTCGGAGCGGGATGCTGGTTCCTTCGGGATATTTATCGTCGACTCGTTCCAATTAAAACGGCGTTTTAAATACCCCCTCGCTGCCCCCCGACCCCCCTCCACCCCCCGCGTGGCGTCTGGACAGGACGGGCTTTCGATTCTCGTCCATCAATTATATCCGCCGGCCTCCGGCGCGGCGGCATCGCACACTTGGACGCATCCGTGCTAAAAGAAACTATGAGCATAGGGTTAGCGTGGAACGTAGGTCGTTTTAGCGTAAATGCGTTCACTTGACCCATCGGAAAACATGTGTAGCCCAGCCCAGACCCACTCCCGAAACACCGTTGACAAGTGGAGCCAGTTCAGCAGGGGAGGAACCGATTTTTTGGGGGGATATGGGGTTGGCTTGTTGAAGGATAACCCTTTTACCTCCTTTTATTTCCAATAGATGAAAATTTGCATTTTTTTTATTTATTTTTTTTGCCGTCTTCGAGATGGCTCTAGCGCACAGTAGGTCGAGTCAATAAGTGATGTCGGACAAAATTTGGAGACTCCAAAAGCTCGTAACTTTGTTTATACAAAACTTTGAGGTTTTAAAAGTGGCTCCATTAGTTTTTTCGCGTTTTAGCCAATGGGCCAACTAATGATCGATACATCCAGACTGACGTGACTTTTGTCTCTTCTTCTCTTTCCTCAGTTCTATCGATAAGGGCCAAAAGCTACCCCATTACAGAATCCCGAGATTTTTCTTTATTTTGTAGCACAGGCGATTTTTTAGTGTTCCACGTTAGATTTCATGCTGGGTCCAAGAGTCCAAGTTGACGAGCTTTGGGTATGTTGTTGCCTGTTTCACACTTTCTGAGACGTAAAATATAAGATGGTCAGTTTTCATCGTTTGGCTTATCATTAAATCTATTGTGGAACACCGGAAAAACGCACATTCTCGCTACTTTCAGATCTAAGATAGGGCCTCCGTTTCTAAACCAAACATTGTAAAATTGACGAAACTCGAAAAATTATTTCAGGTACATAGTATACGTCTTCAACTGTAACATTTTAAAAATTGTGCCAGATTCTCGTATGACGCTGGTATTTGGAAGCTAGTTCAATGAATAAATCGATAGAAAAACGATGGAAGCGGACTTGTGGAAAAATGCTTTCGACCGTGGACTCGGAGGTGAGAGTCGAGCATCTTCACATATTCTTACGCCTCAAGTCTTCAAAAATGGCCCCAGTATGAAGGCTGTCGTAGGGAATCGAAAAAACGAGAATTATCTCCGATTTTATAGCCTTCGGATCAAGTTTGGGCCTCCCCATTTTAAGACCGAACTAAGTACGTGACTATCGTCAAAACCCAAATATTTCTAAGAAAGAATGTACGTCGTCGACTGAAAACTATCAAAAAATCTCGAGATCCTGGGATAAGGCCGACTTTAGCTCTTATCGATATCCCTCTTTTTCGACGTGGAGTTTTCCTCAAAATTCCACCAATCTAATTTAGAAGAACTTATGTTAGCAAAATTCGCCCTAAGTACAAGGGTTGTCGGGGAGATCCGTTGAATTGCGGTATACGACACCGCAATAATACTGCACAGGTATTTAAACAAGTTTTTTTTTCTCTCGAAAACCTTTATCAAGCGACACTACACGGCAACACTGCATCGGACGGAGTATTATAATTATTGACGTTTAGATCATTACTTATCTTATAACAGCAACTTTGTAGTTTCTGAACTTTGCCCTTTTTAACTTCTAAATAATTTTTTATGATACAATTTGAAAGAGATCATGACAATAATATACTTTTAATTCGTGCCGTGCTATTCACTCATATGATCACGACTACCGCGCTATGAAAGACCACCGTATGAACGTCCGGATGTCGTTTAACCTATCCCGCGAAAATATTTATTCATAAGGAGTTATGAATATTTCTCTTTGAATTTTTAGATCCTTTAGAGTGTGTTGCGATTGAAGTTTTCCGTAAATTCACAGTTTTTTAAAAGAGTTCTCTCTCAAGTTTTTTAACTTTTCTTTTCAAAACTCAGTAGCACTAGGGTCGGTGTTCTTCGTTTGCACGACAGACGAGATGAGGCATTTAGGGCAACTTTGAGTAATTTCATTCCATGCTCTCAATCTACCCAGCAAGCTAGGATCCTCGATTCCTAATCCGCTATACCAAGGAGAAATGTCGTATGA